CTGGAGGATGGGGCTCGAAGTGGGGAAGAGCGACTGGAGTCCGACTGCACGACGGGCTTCGTTTCATTTTTCCATGTCATGTGTCAGCGCAGCGTCTCTCGCCCAGCGGCAATCAGAGACGCTGGTTCTATGCAAATGCGAGTATAAATGGATAACTCCATCATCGCAATTCATGCCACTGGCTGCTGCAGCCGCTGTAACTGCTGTAACTGCTGTAACGAAACTGTAACTGCCGCAGTGGTGCACTGGGAAATAAAATGGGTAACTGCACAGCAGGCCTCAGGAACAAAGCTCCAACTGAAAGTAAACTTATCGGGTGCTAAACACTGTTGTGCTAGTTAATTGCAGCACCATGCCGAAGAGATGAAACAAAAGCTTATTTCTCTCCGTGTAGTGGCAGGGCACATGGAAATGCGTTCGCCATTGTGTTGGTAAGTAGCAGTCGAGCCATGACCGCGAAGAGACAGTCGCAATCGCAACAATTGTATTTGCCGTGGTCCTGCCGCCCTCTTTGGGCCCCGCCCTTCGTCCTGCCGCGTTCGTCCTTCTGCGGAGTGCAATTTGGCCAGCAGCAGAAATTATGCAAAGCGAAAAAAATGGCATGCGAACTTGGCATAAATCAATAGAAAATTTATACGTTTCGCCAAGTGAACAGTTTTAGCGTGTCTGCTGTGCGACAGTCTGGGGGTCTGGGATTTCGCGTGTTCTACCAGCTTTAGTTCTCCTTTTTGACTTCTCCTTGCTTTTATACATGACATTTGAAATGCTTTTCTTTTGCCTTTGCTTTGTCTGGCCAAAGTTTCCCGCTGAGCCAAAGTCGGCTAAATCACTGGATAAGCACATTGATGTTGTCAACAGCCAGGACTCTCGCCAGTATGCAAATCGGGCTTTATTGATTAGACGTTTAACTGTTCAAATTAGGGGTTTCAGCATTTTGTTGCTTCCAAAATAAGAAAATGAACTAAGGGCGGACAGTTCTCGCAAAGTGTAATAACACTCTTTTTCCAGATCGCATTCCAACTGACAATTAAGCCCGATCAATGGCCTAAGGTAGGTAGCTTTAAAAATTGTTAAATTATTAGTCGAATAGGTTAATTACTAGTTAAATAGGTAATTCATTTGAACAGACCTCAGGCAAGGCTTAACTTGTTTATTACACATTAAGGAAAGTCAAAGTCCCACTCTGGCAGCTCCGTACTTGCAAAATAATTACACAAATTGTACACTCATGTATTCAGAGAGCCGTACGAAAATAGGAAATCCTTTAAGAGCAGCGCGTGCCAGTCTAGCTGGCGCAATTAATCATTCATTGATTTCCCCGTAGACCCGCGACGCGGAGTAACTTGGCGCTCTAATGGCCCAGAGGAGATTTCGGGAGCCGGGCCAAGGGGGCAGCGAAGTCAAGCATTACATGGTCGGGAGGAATCGGGACACCTTGCCATTAGACGGCCTAGCTAATTATTAACTGCATTAGATTCTGACAAATGACAAATTGCGCTGCCACATCCTGCTCCTTGTTGCTCTGCCGCACACACGCGCACACGAGTGTGTGTTATCGCTGTTACCGCTAAGTATTTTTGACACAAAATTAGTTACACAAGGTGGGTGGGGAAAACACGCCCAGCACATAAACACCCGGGCGCCGAAATATGCGGCATAAGCTCCGAAAAATTTCCAACACTTTGGGTCCGGTCATTTGTCATTAAAAATAACCTAACCACACTGCGAAAAAGGCGAAATGCGTAATTATCGGGCGAATGATTGAATGTGTTTCATCAAATAAGTAACATGAATTATAATTTTTACATATTTGCGGTCTGCTTTCTCCATGTGCCATCGTCGTGCCAGTTCTCCGCTGGGGCCATGGAAGTGGAATCCATCGCGTGCTCCGGGCAAATCCAACATTTTCCAGCGCCTCGCGAACGACAGCAAAATGAGCCATTCGAATCGCGTCAGAAGTGCCGATTTGTGGTCTGCCTTCGAGCCGCACAGTACTCCAGTTTTTAAAGGCGCTGCTCAAGCCAAAAAAAGAATGGTTGGTTAAAAAGGAATATTTTACCCATATTATTTGGCTGATTAAAGCCTTGTCATCGAATAACCAATCAGTGGATAAAAAGGTTCAACAATACAGAGCGCATAAATGTACTGCAAAGTATCAGTTAACGTTTGGCGTACAAATACCTTTGTATCTTTCTCCTCACATTCCATTGACTCAATCGTTTCATTAGTAGCGAGATACTTGTGCCCTCTCCTGGAGCAGAGTTACTGTTAGCTGGTGTGCCAGCTATCTGCATACATTGTGTGATATGGGGAGATCTAAAGTAGGCGCACTTGTGGCGAACTGGAGCATAACGCACTCAACACGGCATAAATTAAAATTTTATGTCCAACGCGTTCGCCTTCCAGTTCCTTGTGGGATGGGATGGGCTGGGTTGGGCTGGGCTGGGATGGGTGTGCTTTGGGCCACAGCAATTCACAGCTCGGGCTGAGGATTGCGGATTGCGGATTGCGTGTGGCAAGTGAAACAAGCACGCACGAGACAGAGCCAAATACCCGACGCCAAATACGATTTTTAGCGATTTAGGCGAGCGCGCGAGGCACGTTATAATTTGCCAGGCAGCCAAAAATGCGAGAATCCGGCCGCATTTGCTAATCAAAACAAATGAAAACAACATGAATTATGGCCGGCAGGGGCGAAAGGCTAATAGGGTTAAAGCCGCAGAGTTCAGCAAATGAAATAGCCCGAAAAGCGTCCCACACATGTGGCTCACTTTTAATGAAATCGTTCGAATGTGGTTTTCCGTTCTGGCCCGGTCCCCTTGCAAGTAGAATTGGTCCTTGGCTTCGGCGCCGTGTGACACACGTAATTTGAATATATGGCACTGGGTTTCGGTTCCGGCCACAGGTCAATGTGGGGAGTGCGGTCGGTTGGGCGCCAACTATTCCGGGACACTGTGTCCTTCTGACACGGGCTCTCAAGCTGGCCGTTGATAAATAATGAAGTCATATGTCCCAAGTTGAATTTTACACTATCACGCAATTGCCGGGCTTCGCTTTTCTGTCTGGGACCACGGCGTATGTACATTGTAGCGACGCCCACATTTTCGCAACTTTTTATGTAATCGTAAAAATATTTTTATGATTTCATAATTTTACAGTGTTGGTGGGGCAACGAGGAATGCTCCTTGTTTATAGCCGCAGCCCCATTGGCGTGCGACGTTGTCTATGCACTGCGAAAAAGCTGATAGCCTTAAAAATTGTTTAAAAAAAGGTAAGGCTGAATAGCTGAAAGCTTGTTCCGGAAAGAAGTGCAATAGGACCTCTTCAAAAATGTGCAGTGTGCATTGCTCTGTGATTTATGATTTTCTTTTCCGTGCGAGTCGTGCAGAATGGCGGCATTTTATTTCGACTGCTCCTTGGATTAATTTTTGTAATTTTCGGCACAAAACGGTGCTTTAAGTTATGCCTGGCTAATCTGGGCCTTGGCTCATATCGCAGCATTCATTTGCCATTTTATGCAAAACCATATTTCCCAGCTGTAAAAGCCGGCATCGCCGAGTTGGCCGGGCTGAAATGGAATCACGGCGGGGTGCCTACTTCCACCCCAAGTACAGCATACACACACGTGTGTGCTGGGGAATAGAGCTCTATCTGTATTTGTTTAAGGCTCGGCTACCTTGCGACAAGGACAACACACGGCTCACACAGCTCACAGCTTGAAAAATGTTGGTTGTCAACATTTTCAGTTTGCATCGTTAGCTTAAAAGCGGGCGCCACCGAGCGCCTCGCACAATGGGGCGAAAATCGATAAATGAGACAAACCGTGTGATTTGCCCCCTCGGGGCCACAAAGGACTTTCATTTTGATCACAAAATAGAAAAGTGCGGGGGTTACAAGGCCATCCGTGCGCCGGTGGGTGTGGCTCAAGTGCCGTGAAAACGTCCTGCTCAAACAGAAATTAATTATTCCGATAAATTTGATTCGGGGGAAAGAAAGAAGCGGAAAGCCGAAGAAAGACTGACAACTCTAACAAAAGTTTATGAATATTTGTGCTAATGGCGCGGCCGCAGATTGAACTTTTCGCCCACAGCTGCTGCAAATAAATAAATTAAAATGTGTGTCCAACAGGTATTCGCAACACAGGAGCTGAGTGCTTCCTTGAGCCTGTCGCCACAACAGGAGTTATCCGCTTCTATAAATATAAAATATTCTGCTCGACGCAGCCAAAGTTATGGCAAACTCTTGCAATTAAACTGTCAGACTTATGAATTCATTAAATATTTTAATTGTAGCTTTTGAATAATTAAAATTCCATTTATATGGCCGCACACACACCTCGAGCCATAAATCTGCGATTAATTAAAAGCCCCGTTCTCAGCTTTCCCGTTACCCGTTGTTTGTGGCATCCTGGGCGTATACGTATTGGCAATTAAACGTAATTACAAAAACATAACCGAAACTCGATTGGAAAATGCTTCGCTTCCACTGCTTTGAATCTTCAGTTGATTGAGCTGTCCGTTCGACAGCGATTTGCAATTTATGCAAATCACGGCGCTCCAGGTGGGCGGGAATAAAAGAAGTAGCTAGTCGCTGACTGGATTGTTTTGCCTAACTTTGAATTCGAATCGCATTTGAATGCGCATCGACACAGTGAGAAAAAGCAGATTCACGCAATATTTGAATACTGTGAAATGCTATTGACACCCATGTTGTTACTACAGATTTCATTAAAAGGCAGCTGTCTTTTCTTTAAGTTAGTTAAAGTTAGTACATCAGGACCTCTATTTAGTTCCTAGATTTAAAACGTTATGTTGTATATAATAATTAAGAATACATGCTATTTAATTCTAAGATTTATAATATAATATATAATAATTAAGAGTACATGTTATTTTTCCTGCGAGTGTACAAGCCCTTGCGGTTCGCTTATTTCGGTGAGATTATCCTATGGTGCTTCTAATATTAGTCCTAATTTTCTCAGTGCATGCAAATCCACTCACCTGGATCATCGTCGTCGTCCCAATCGATTTGACCGGAAGTCAGGCTGATGTGTGCCGCGAACAGGAAGAGCGTGAACAAAGCCAGGCAGCTTCGTCTGATGTTGGCGTTGTAGGAAGTTGTTAGGGGCATTGTGGAAGTCCTTTTCGCTGGAAAATCCATTGTGTAAAGTGTAGCCATTTATATGCAGGCCCGAATCGTATTTCAGAGTGTTTACCGCCTCTGTGCCGATGCTGTTTTCAATTTAATTTTCTCGAAAAAGTGCGCTTTTATCGCAGCTGCTGGCTCCTTCGTCGAAGTGTTCCCTAAATTTCGGCGAACCTCTGCTTTCCTCCTTCACTTCCTCCAGCCGGGCTGATTCCGAATTCTGGGAGTGCGCGGCTTTTTGCTCTCGACTCCGACTACTACTAATTAAGTTGTTCCATTTCAATTTTTGCCCGGGGCACAACTTTTCCGCTGCTGCTGCTGCTGCTGCCGTTGATTTTGATTTTGCTGCCGTTGATGTTGCCGCCGCTGCGTTGCACTGAGGTGTGCGAAGCTCTCGAATTGTTGCATTGTTTTTCCGATTTCAGTGTTCTGCAAGAGGTTGAGAGGTCGGAGAGTAGAGAGGTGAATAGAATCATAATTTGGCGTTAGCGGGGGAAACACAAATCCCTTTTAAGTGGATTAATAGTAAGCTAATTGCAGGTTGGCTAATGAGATAATGTGTTTTTTTTTAACTAATAAGGAAGTGCATAGTGGCTTAGCCTGCGGTGAGCTGGGAAATTCTTATTATATTAAACATTTTCTGAGCACGCATACTTGCTAAATCAATTAGGAGCAAGTAAACAGTTAGGGGACTACAAGGGTTAAGAGGCATTTAAGCCTCTCTAGAAGAATAACCCATGCAAATCTCAGCGGCATTTGTGTAGCAACGCTTCCATTTCTATAAGAGTCATTGAAATTATTTTACTTTGTATTCGTTAGGCATCATTAAGAAACTGCTGCCTACAGTATATACAAACTTTTACTCTTTGACCTAGTTTCCCGCAAGTTGTATCCACGTAGAGCGGAAATTAGTTTCACTTTCGAAAGCTAACAAGCTGCGCAATGATGACGGGCTCATTGAACCCCAGTCTCCTTCGGCGGACCACTTCTCACTTCTTTTGGCCTCCGAAAACGGTGCCTACATTTCGGCGCACTATCTGCAGTGTCTAATTTGGCATGGTGGCATGGGCTACATCCACTTCCCTTCACCCGTCTTGCAATGCGCACTTCAAACTTTAGACAACGCGGCAGCACCAGGAGCAGCTGCAGCACATTGTTGTACATGTTGGCAAACATCTCACGCCATGGCTGCCTGCACATCCCAGCCGCCCAGGCCAAAAACACTGAGACTCGGACAACATGTTTCCCGAAAATGTATGATTATCAATAGGAAACTGGCCGAAACTAAACTAAAGTTCTTTAAATGCAAAGCAGAAAGTTCCTACTCCTTTAAAAAACGAGTTATTCAAGGGAGGAATATTAGAGGAATTTCAGAAAGCAGGCAAATTAATAGCAGGCGCATTATTAGAGGTAGTAAAATGGCTTGGTTTTCAAGCATTATACAAATGTAGATGCCATTCCTTATGCACAGCTCTTTCTTTCAGTGCAGGGCTCAGCCTTCAGTCACTCCCCGATCCCAATTTTATGCAGGCAGCCACTCACTCAAATTTCGAGTGCAGCGAATTTTGTATACATTTCGTTTAATTTGGCCGCTGCCAAGAGCCCCCCTTCAGCCCGCCGCTGGAAAAACTTTAGCGACACTGTTCTGGATGGGGGAATGTAATGCAGAAAGAACAAAACACCGGGCTGGAAAAAACCGAAAAAATGGGGAAAAAAGGCGGAAAACTGAAAAAGTTGTCTGCCGAAATCAACGCCACTTTCGCCACAAGCATTAAGCGTTGCATGCAAAATTACCAGCTAGTGGTTTGTATTTCCACTCTGATTGCTGTTTAACATGGTTACATTGTCCTTGGAACCGAAACAGCAACAGCAACAGCAGCAGCAACAGCCACATCAACTGAAAATGAAACTGAATCAGAGTGAGAGTCCTGGAGCCGGGCATCCTGGCTGCCTTGCTCGTTTTTGATGGTTGTTTCGGTGGCGCTGCATGTGCATCACATCCATGGTGGCCGTGCATCATGACATGCTCTAGTTGCGAAACTTGTACACTTCTCCACTTTTTGCCCAGGTGCTTTTTTATTTGTGATCGCTTTAGTTATATGCATGTGGGACAAGTGGCGTCCAATGCGTGGTCGAATTGGAATGGGCAACACGAATTTGCTGATGCACAGGCCCAAACTTTGCCCCCTTTGGCAGGACAAACCAATTTGCGCTTAGATTGAGGGCCAGAACAAAAGTTTGCGCCTAAACACTCACTTGAGTGGAACTTATGCACGACAGGAGGCGAACGGCAAACATGTGCGGTTACTTCATCAACATTTCACGCTCGACTTGGCCAGCTCGGATAGAAAATGGCAGAAAGCGGTAGAAAAACTGCCAAGGCACGCAGCAAAAATGTATGCAATGCCGGCTGCTGTTCCCTGTTTCCTCCTCCCAGCTCCCTGCCTCAACAGTCTCACCTGGCCGGCAAAATAAACTCGACTCAACTGCTGGAAATCAACTAGCTGCTGCCCCCAATCCTGCCGAACACGTGGCACAAAGTTTGCCCTCAGCACGGCGACTCCTGCTCCTTTTTGCGCTCCTCCTCCTGCTCCTCCTTCTCCTCCTCCTGGCCAGCGCAAATACTTGGCAGTGAATGTGCTCTCGGTCCGTATGTATTCATACGAGTATTTGGCCAGTATGAGTCCATGTAAGCATTTATCGGCCAGCACTCAGTGCTGACCGAAAACCTTTTCGGCATCTCAGCAAAGGGCAGCCCGAATTTTTGGCCTTTGATGGGGCTGACTACTTTATAGGTATTGCTGGTTGAAGAGCATTAGGCAACGTACTCTCTAATAAAAAGAAATGTTTAATTTCAAGCATTAGGCACAAGTTGAAATGCACAATATGCCCCTAGACATTAAGAGGTCGTGGAACTATTATAAAAAATTAAACAAACCATTTCAGTCAATTTAAGCTGCAGTAAAAACAATGTCTGATAGAAAATGCTTTAGCCATTCATTTATGCCTAAACTGTAATGTAGCTGTAAGTAATGCAAGCTGTATGTAAAAATAATTTGTTTCCATGCTGGTTTAGGAAATGTAAAAGATACTTCTGCACTGAAGCATCAGTTTACTTCAATTTCACTCAATTTATTTGAAGAAACAGTCCACTTTTCAGTGCGAACTGCGTAATTTCTTTTATGGCTGTGGTCCTCCCCTAAGTTTTTCTCCATTCCGCGTTCCCGCCTTTTGTGCGCCATGGCAAGTCATCGATTTGGCACGTTTTGTGGGTCTGCGGAGCCAGGAGTTGTCGTGCCAGGAGCTCCTCAGATCGCGAACTCCGGCTCCGTGCCATTCGGACAACGAGTTAAAGTGTTTCGCCACGCACTTCAATAAAAACACCTACACGTACACAGCCGGTAAGCAGCTAGTTTCGTGACGACGACTCCGGAAATACGCATACGCCATGTGGGCCGGCGGCGGAATAAAGTGGCGCAGTCTGTTGGCAGCATATATTGTGGGCGGACCCTGTGGGTGTGGGGGTGTCTGTCTGGCGGAGGGTTTTGGCCTCCTTCTGGCGGCGCCATGTGTGCAAGTGCTTAATAACTGAATGCCAAGTAGCTGCTAGCCGAATCCAATAAAATATTCGGGCAATCGGTGGCTTACACCCTGGTGGCGGTGGCTGCTGTGGTTTCAGCTTGGTACAAATGGCACTTATTCAAAGATAATTAAAAACCGATAGCAAAGCCAGCGCCGCCTCCAGGCGCCTAAAATAATAATATCCTCTGAGCCATTTAATCCGCGCCCACGCCTGAAAGTTCTATATTCTACGTGAGGGCTTATCACCCGGAAGCTATTAAAATGCAATGATGTTCAATTTTATGTCCTTTTTTCGAGACTTTAAAGGGTACGTAAGCTCTCTTAAGACAACAACAAATATTTATGTCCGTTACTCGTGGAGTAAAAGGGTATGCTAGATTCGTCAAAATGTATGTACCAGGTAGTAATGTAAATGTAAAAAGAAGGTGCCACGCCCACAAGCCGCAAAAAAAAACTTATTTTTAAATTTTGTTATTAATTCTTACAATTTCTATCGGTATGCCAGAAAAATGTTGAAATTTCTCGTTCGTACTTCCCCACCAGCTAAGTAATGGGTACCAGATATCGTTTAACTCGACTATAGCGTTCTCTCTTGTTTATTCTTAAACTATGAAAAGCCATGTTTTTCAGCCCGTTCATACGGAAACTAAAAGCCTATTTTTTATTGAATATATAATGATATATCATATACATAAAGTATATCATATAAGAGTATTTGAAATAATTATATTCTGGTTTAAAAGAGCAATATGTTTCCATTGACAAACACCCCACAAAATGTTTATTGGATTAATATTGAAGTATTTCGTGTTCTGTATCCAAAACTTTTGTAGGATCTTTATTTTGAATGAAGAAAACATTTTTGATTTATTTTTTATACTTACTTTAGGAAATGAATAAAATCAGTTTAAACCAGTAATTCAGCGGCAAAGTTTCCCGCAGAACACGCTACCTAATTAGATAACAACATTAGCAGCTTTTAAATTGCTCGGCGCCGTAACCCCAGGGCCTTTGATTAAATATTAAGCGCTTAGTTGCCTACATTTTTAACATTTCGACATGATTCCCCCTGAAAAACCCCCAGCAGTCAGGTGTCAATGTCGCAACCCCAGCTCGGTAATTGCCAGAGACACCAAGGCCGTTGGAGGCAGAGGCGTCGTCCTTGTTTGGCAATTTCCAGATGTGTGCGGCCAGGAGCAGATACACACTTATGCGGACAGTGGAGGAGCTGGGCCGAAAAGGAGGCAGCAGTAGCAAATTGGCGGTGACATTGACAGGGCGGAATGTGGGAGGACATCCGGGCCACTACGACATACTCAGACCCAGACCCAGACTCAGACTCAGACTCCGGGCCCTGCTACAAAGTACACAAAAAGTTTTCTAATTATTTTGTCATTAAACGC